GAAGCCCTCACACCTCAGCCTGAGAACAGCTGTGCGATTAGCACGCCGTTTGCTCCAGTGCAGACTCTGATCACATCAATAATCTCGCTTTAATGTCACGTGACCTTACCCGACGGGTGGGCGAAGGTGCGGCCGCAGAGGTCACAGGCCACCTTCTTCTTGACCCGCGTGGCGCTGCGGTGAGCCTCGGCCCGGTGGCGCTGCAGCGCCCGCTTAGACAGCTTCTCGGGACACTCGGGACACTGCTGCTCGCACTCCTGGGACATGGAGCAGCGCTTCATGTGTGCTAGCATCCGACACTTGTAATCAAAGCTCTTCTTGCACCAGTGACAGCAGTAAGGTTTGGAGTGGCAGGAGGGAGGGGAGGAGCAGGGAGGAGGGGAGGAGCAGGGAGGAGAACTCTCTGCTACAGCTGCATCTTTCTGCTCCTCCTCGTTCTCCTCCTCGTTCTCCTCCTCGTTCTCCTCCTCGTTCTCCTCCTCGTCACCGCTCTCATCTTCCTCCTGGACACGATCTTCACTTCTGCTCTTCTGCTCTGAGTCAGCTGCAAACATGGACACAAACACGCAGAAGACATCCAGTAAAAAGCTTCCTGTCACATCACATCCTGTCAATTTGCAGGTCGGACACAGATGTATATAGATACGAGCTGTCCTTAAAGACAGACCTACACATTGTCTTTCATGTTACTCCCTGCTCGTCTTTACCTCCAGCGTGGCTGCCGTCAGGCTGCCGTGCGCTCCTCTCCAGCTCCTCCAGCAGAGGGAGCAGCTGTGTGGGGCAGGAGGATGAAGCTTTCTGCTTGGCGGTGCGCAGCAGCTTGATAAGCCCCTCCTCTCCCATCTGACCCTCCTTCACTTTACTCATCAGCTTCTCCGACACGGAGCTGGGATCAGCCTCCTCGCAGCACTGACACACAACCTGAAAGAGCACAAAGTGCAAACAGATGAAATTGTGGAGCAGCAGCCGTCCAGTCAGTAGATGGCGCCCTCGAGCTACAGCCACCCCACTAGCCCCACTAGCATGTCCCACACGGAGTCGTCACAGGACAGGTTCAGCTCAGGATGAGCGGTGCTCACAGTACGCTGACCATGAGCTGGTGCGGTCATGAAATGGGAACAAATCTGTGCCTCCAGATACACTTTTATTGTTGTTGTCTTCCATGTGGAGCTTCATCCCTGCAGTTCAGTGCTTTGGTTTATGCTCGAGTGATTCTGTCTATTCAAAGTCTACAACATACAAACATGTTAGACAACGTGATGCAACCACAAGGGAGGGGTTTTCAACCCGCGGCTCTGCAGCCACGGGGGGCCTGGGACAATAAATGACATTAAATAAATTAATAGTATTTAATTGAAATGTGTTTTATTCGTGTTCTTTTTTAAAGTGGACTAAACTGGGAGATTACTGTGATCCTGAAATATTAAAATAAAATTTGATTATTTTTCGTCGGTCAAACAAGCGCCTCAGGAGGCCACCGTCGTGGAGAATAACTGGAACATGGACTGGCATCCCGTCAGTGCCACAGACGGAGGTGAGCAGCTGCTCTCCACCTGCGCCTCACAGACGACAGCGGGAGCTTCATGCAGCATCGATTTGGTTCAGGAGCGCACATTACATTTATATATAAATAAAATTGAATTGAATTGAACATTAACCAGGTAAGACTCATGATGATGCAGATATTTATTTGTCAGTCACACAGAGATTTGTTTCCAATGTATTTTTTAAATTCAGCTCGAGGCTCCGGCTCAGAAAGCTCAGCGGCGATATGACCGTCTGTTTGTACGTGAATCATTTCAGTTCAGCTGTTTGTGTTATTATTTTAAGAAATGTGTTTCGTACATAAAGAAAATGGAGTTTTTTCATGTGTTTCATGAGCAACACACTTGTATGTCGTTGTTTACACAGAGCATGAAGGTCACAGAGCAGTTTCTACAGTGCTATCTTCATTTTGATGGCAGTGTTTGTTGCTCGGTGGGTTTTTATGAAACCGGCTCTTTGGGTGTTAAAGGTAGCCGTGATCTAAGGGGAGGTGGTGTTAGATGGAGAACCAGGGCTTCCTGTTGTACCTGTCTTTCTCTTCCTGTCAGGCTCTCTGCTGCTTGGCTCAGCAGTTCCACAACAGACGGCGTGTTGGCGAGGAGACCAGACTCGCTGGACAGCCTGGCTGCCGACGTGTCGCCACCTTCTGAGGATTTGACGTCTTCGGGCCCTGTGGACAGAAGATAAAGTCTAGTTGTTCTCTTATTGTAGGGAGAAGATTTTAGAGCAGGGGTGGGCAACTCCAGCCTCGAGGGTCCTGCAGGTTTAAGATCTCATCCTGGGTCAACACTCCTGAATCACATGATGAGCTCAGTAGCAGCATCTGGAGAACATCTGGAGCCATTTAAACCAGCTGTGTTGGATCAGGGACTCACCTAAAACCAGGAGGACACCTGCACGAGGCCTGGAGTTCCCACGCCTGTTTCAGACTCTGTTTCCAGTAAAGGTGTGATTTGAATTATTCCCAGATTAACTCACAGTATTAAATTCCCCAAACTACGGGTTCAAACATGAGAGTGACCTGATGTGTCCACGCGGGCCCTTTTAATCGCTGGCTCGTCTGCGTCCTCGCCGTCGTGCTCTAACGACTCTTCTTTCAGCTCTTCCGTCGCCTCCGCCTCGTCTGAACACGGGCTGTGCTTGCTGGGCGAGGCTGAGCCTTCAGGCTTCATCTTCGGGGCTTTGTTGGTCACGGTGAGGCGTGGCCCAGCGGGGCTCGCTGATACTGGGGGCTTCTGGTTCACCAGGCTGGTGAGGACTTGCTTAAAGCCGACGGCCACGTCGTACATCTGCAGGCTGTCTGCAGCGGCGACTATGCGGCTGACGTTGTGTTTACCTGGAGGCAGTTTACCGGTGTAGACCATGTCCAGCAGGCAGCCGAACTCCTGCGAGGAAACCACGGCGGTGTCGATGGAGATGGTGTCGGAGCCATCCAGGAGAGACCTGACGGAGACACAGCGTTCAGTTTTAAGCTGCAGTTTAATAAAAGTGACCAGTCACACCTGTGCACCGTGCTGGGATTAATATTAAAGTGTGACGGGAGCAAACATCACATCTGTAACAGCTGGTCAGAACTTTCATGTTCCTCAATAAATACATTTTAAAATAATCTAATATTTTTGTCCAGCTGACAAAAACCAAAAGTTCATGACTTGAATTTGACTCCTCACTCTTCCACAGGAGCCAACATGAGGCTGCTGGGATTAGATGAACGACTATAATGTGACTGGGTCAGCAGGTCTACCTGAACAGCATGCTGGACGCAGCCAGCACCAGTTTGTGTGCGCGGTGACGACCCTCTCCCACCAGGATGGTGCAGTCGCAGAAGTGCTCCTCCTTCCTCAAGGCCCACAGCTGCTGCATCAGCTGGCTGCTGTAGTTGGGTAGCTCCATCATGTTGCACCAACCACAGCTCTGATCAGTTCATGTTCAAACACACAATCAGGCCTGCAGCATGACCGGAACTTATCACTGAAACTGCGTTTATACCGCTCTCGCTCTGTGCAACATGCTGGGGATGAAACACTCACAAAGCTGCAGTTTATCCGCTAGTGTGGACAAAGCTAATGTTTTATTACAACATCATCTAGTGTATTAGAAGCACCACGTGATGACGGACACGGTAACGCGTGGTGTCTTCACTGTGTCTACGTCTTATCAGCAGCTAACGTTCAGTTCTTAAACCTGTTTACCAGAACGTAACTAGCTGTAGCCTTAGCTAAGGTTGCTAATGTAATCCACAGAAGGTAACTAGTTACTGTAATAGTAGTGAAGCGCGCTCCGGTACAGGCGCGCTCCCAGTATAATAAACCCACACGATCACTAAGGGCTGTACCTTGAATTATTCAATCCGAGTCTTTATTTAAACTTCTCTGCTGAACAATTCTGCTGTGCGCAATAAAGCTCGACTGTTTTGAAAATGGCGACACGCAGTACGTGAACAAATTGGGTCACTTCCGGTTGAAGAAGTCTCGTCACCGCGAGCGGTTTGCTTTAAATCTGGTTTGCTGTCCAGTCGATCCGTGATCGATCCACAGTATGACCGCTGGGCCTTTACCGGAGTAAACACAACAACAGCTCGACAGGTCATTACAAATATATTCTCGCAAAATTATTAAATGAACGACAAACACATAAAAGCTTTTGCCTGGAACAAGAATCTGTTATATATTCGTAACAGCGGAAGTGCGCTTTAAACCAGCGGTCCCCAACCCCCGGGCACTGGACCGGTACCGGGCCGCGAGAGCTGAAGCTCGGGTGTGAAATGTGTGGTTTTCAGGGGGTTTCTCGTTAGCTCGGTTTCCCGGGTCTTTCCCGTGTTGTAGTTGCGTCTTATTTTGAAAGAAATATGTACCCGTTACCATAGCGACCAGAGAGCATTACGGGGCAGAGAGGAGGAAGTTTCTGTCAGTGTTGTTGGAGCACGCTGCTAATAAAGATGAACTCACCTTTACTATCATATTTACCACCGTGGTTCTCTCGGTCGTGTCATTGATGTTGTTGCGTTTATCCGCCACACCTTAAAGGCTCCGTGACAATACTGACATCAAACCGTCCGTGGAGACAAACAGGCTGCGGACGCTGGTTTACATGTCAGGAAGAGGCTGATTCACCACAGCGACTGTTGCTTTGAACATTTCTGACTCTCAGCTCACTGCATTTGTGGGATGTTTCAGAGAGAGAGCGCTCAATGCAAACCAAAGCATAACGAGGACAGTTTAACAAAGAATCCTTCAGTTAGGCCCAAGTTCAAGAACTCTGGAATTGAGATAACAAGAACATTTTGACAGGAAAAATAAGGGTGCAGGTTTCAGCTACTGAGACCATGTATGATTCCAGCTGTGCCACACCACTGCAATGAAGAGATCTGATCATCAGCATGCAGCACGGCCTGATGACTTCATGAGCACCACAGATGTGATATTTGCTTTCTATGCAGAAGTATCAAGAAAACAAAAAGCTGCTGCACCGTCTCTCTGTGCATCTACAGAAAATATACAATAGAGCTGAGGCAAGACCTGTGACGCTGTGTGAGGAAGCACAGAAAAGTGAGGGTGGTGCAACAGATGGGTGTTAGGTGAGGATGGGAGTAACAGATGAAGTCTGTGTGGCCTGTGATATCCACTGAGCTAGTGTGTGTAGAGAGACGAATGAAAATGGGTAAAAACATGAGGCGGTGGGAAGGTGAAACTGTAACAAGTGGTGAATGTGGGCAGGTTTAAATCTGGTGTCAAAAGCCCAACGCAGCACAAGAGAGGAGGAGAAAGTGCAGGTAGGGTGGAGAGGTGTGGGTGTGATATCTGAGGGGGACGCTCTGATGTTTGGGCTGGAGACGCAGCACTGACGAGAGGCGGAGCTGGAGGGCGTGAAATGTTTGTAGTGAGTAACGAAGATATCAAAGGGACAGTTTGGAGACAGAGGCGCGGCTGGCATGGTTTATACATGAACTGCTGCCAGGCAGGAGGAGAGGAAGAGCACAGAGGAAGAGCAGCCAGGTAACAACAGACGATGCTCAGAGCAGGATATGAACGCAGATGCTGCAACCTGGAGCAAGTTCATCCATTTGCTGTTGGTGAACACTGATCAGGAAGTATGAACTGATCGCACACACGTGTCAGGCCATGAATGAACACACAATTATGAGTGAAGGCAGAGTGCTTTGAAAATAACTTTATTGTTTATAAGAAATAACAGTGAAAAGAAGACAACGTGTCACTGCTTACATTTGTTCCATTTCATTCTCCAGCGTATGGTTTACATACTGTAGCTATGTAACTGCAAATGCCACATCGAGTGTGTGTACAAACACACACATGTGCTTATATATACATACATACATATATATTTATATATGTATATATAAAATGACTGTGTGGAGGTAATACATGTTCTAAGATTGATGAGCCAGTATATTTGCAATAATTAACAGGAACTAGTGCATTCTTCTGACAAACCTGAAAACTCTGCAGTTACAAGATAAGCTTACACACAACAGAAAGAAAGAGCATCATCTTCAATTTGTCTTCTGTCATAATTTAAAAGATTCAAAAATAAAACATTTTCTCGACCCACAGTAGATCTGAGCTGAACCAGGTCTCAGACTCCGACCTGGTGTCTTTACAAACGTTCAACCTCATGTAGAGAAACTTTGCAAGATAGTCACAGTTTTATCAAAGAAAGCCTACTCAAAATGTAGAAAAACAAAGTACAGAACAAATTTAAGAGCTTATTTATATGGACACAACATATTCAAGCTTTTTTAAAATTTCCGTCCGTCATCGTCGCAGTTCAAGCACAGCTGCAAACAGCTGTCCTCAGTGGCCGAGCAGCCCGGTGCCTGGAGGAGGTCACAGAGGTTAGAATGAAACAAACACTGTGCGGTCAGACGCTGTGCCACAGGTCTGTGCCACAGTGACATGATGAACTGTATCAGATGAAAACATCTATCGGTTCATAATAAACACTATGGTTTGTGTCGTGGTGTGGCAAAATACACAGTTTATGGCAATATTTCTTTGTCTTCCACACAAGAATCACGAGCACGAAACAGAGCCGTCAGCTGCTCCAAACAAACCTCGACTCAAACGTTAGAACAGGCGTTTCCCCGCAGCACGCCGTGTAAGAAACGCTCACACAGAAACATCTAAACATGTATAGCTTCATGCGTGGGCCACACACTCGACCCGCTGCCCAGCTGGAAACACTTCACACAGGTCGAGTTTACAGTAAGAGCACTATTTTGTGATGTGTGGTTATGAGACATGTCTTATATGAGAGTTTGGTCCTAACACCAGCTGTTTGTGAGTCCTTGAGTTTATGTCTGAAGGATCTCAGTCGTCCTCACAGTCCAAGGAGCTTGGAGAGAAAAGTGTCTGGACTTCTTTACGTTTCTCAAAGACGTTTCTAAGATCTCATCTGAGAAGCTTCTTCAGTTCTGAGAAGCTTCTCGTCTTCAACAAGCTTTCCAAGCTCATTAGACTTTATGCTGCTGCTGCCAACTTGTGGATGGGACTGGGAAAAACATGGACGCTGGCTACCTGCTGACGCGGGCAGGCCTGTCTCTAACAACACGCTGCGTTACGCTCCTCTGTGATTGTAACAGCGCTCATCATCAGACAACAAACACGTCTCGTCATACAGCAGCGCTTATGTGTCCACACATGTTCATACTCCCATCAGCTGGTTCAGTATCCAAGGATACTCTGGCATGCAGACTGGAGCAGCCAGTGCAGGGTGTGCAACTCCAGGCCTGGAGGTCCTGCAGGTTTTAGACGTGTCCCTGATCCAACACAGCTGACCTCCTCAACGTGTCCTGAAGTTCTCCAGAGGCCTGGTACTGAACTCATCATGTGACTCAGGTGTGCTGACCCAGGGTGAGATCTCAAACCTGCAGGCCCTCCAGGCCTGGAGCTGCCCACCCCTGACCTACAGCCAGCACTACCTGTGGCTCTCCTCCAGCTATTAGACAGAGGGCAGGTTTCAGATCTGAAGGCTGATTGCTTTATAGCGCATATACAGCCTGCTTAAGAACTTGGGACAGCCCACATGTGGCTCCTGTTTCCAACATGTGGGCTTGTTAGTAAGAAAGAGTTCCAACTAACGTGTTTCTCCACCTGCTCCAGATCCCAGCTGCAGTGGCCCTGTGCCCTACACTGTGACACACCATTATGTTTGAAGTAAAACAAGTGCAGAGGAAGCGTGCTCACCTTTAAACCCCTCTTCAGGCATTCTCACTGTGAACAAAGAAGAACAGTTTAAGAAAGCAGTCCTTCTTTGAACCCAGCTGTAGTGGAAGCACACACAGGCCTACTGACCTTGATAGACATCATCCATTGCAGCGTAATCTGCTATTGGCTCATCAGCCTGCAGCCGAACAGAATACATTTGGAGGAAAATGACGTCAGGTTATGTTCGAGCGATTGTTGTGTGAGGATGAGGAGACTGTGTGTACCTTCAGACAGATGATGCTCTCCGGGATGATTCCCAGGCTTCCCAGTGTGGCCGAGTCGTCTGTCAGACTTTTTCCATCAATGAAGAGATTTTGGTCAAACGGCGCCACAGAGAAGGCGTGCATGATCTGGACAACGACAGGCACCGTGGGTTTAGTCAAACTGGCCCACTCACTGCTTTGTGTTCAGTAATCTGAGTTCCTCACTTGTATTTTCAGCTCTTTCAGAGTCTGATTCGCTGAAACGATGAGCGCCTTCTCTCCACGGAGCTTCCTGTGTCGCGTGCTCCTCCTGATTCCTCCTGGTTTGGCCACGTTGGTCACAACGCCAGCAGCAGCTGTGGGCACACTGCTGTCACTCAACTTTAGCCGTTTTGCACCGTCCTGTGACTGAAAGAAACAAAGTTTGTAACAGATTTGAGTCAAAGATACAAGTCTTAGGGAACAAAAGACTCAGGATATCTGTGTGCTGCTAGCAAACAACTAAAAGGGTTTTTCAAGGTGACGTGAGGTTTGAGAGCCGCCACAGGCAGACGTGTAAAAACAAACTCCTAGATTCACCAGCATTGTTACTCAGACATGTCTTGTAGCAGACTTGCACTATAATTCATTCATATTTCTCAGTTGTGTTAATGCAGAGAAGCTGATGCAGCCTCGTGCCTCTGCTGACAGCTTTGACTGAGTGTGATTACTGAGAGCTTTCTCTTGCAGACGCGTGGTGCTGGTGTGGTTACCTGGCTGAAGTCGGGGTCTTTCTCACCATCCAGTTTGGGATGTTCTTCCTTCTCCTCCTCTGCTTCAGAGCTGCTGACACTCAGCTCTGGTGCAGCCTCCTTTATCATCTACACACAGTTAAATAAGTGTGACAGGAGAGGCTGTTAGACACAGTCAGCGCAGCAGCTGAGAAAAACGTCAGCGTTTGAGGTAAAAGCTCTTTACTCTTTTGTCTTCAATCACTTTGCGTATGTAGATGGTGGCTTGGGTATACTCTCGGAGGTCCCTCTGCTGCTGGAAGAGGAAGCTCTCTCTGCACTCCCAGCACAGATCTGGACACAAACACATCCATTTGAAATGAATCAAGGACAAAAAGCATCACTGATGAAGTATCGGGCTCACAGGTCAACTGTGAACCAACCGATGTGACCTTCAGCACAGTTTGGCTCGTGATCTGTGGACAGCAGACAACCACGAGTGCTCACTGGTCCTTCAGCTGAACGAGCTGGTTAAACTGCCCTGCCTTATCTAAGGTGCTGTGGATCTCTGTACATGGAACTATCTCAGTGATCTCATTTTCATGCACGTTTTGTGACCTAACATGTGATAACTTGGATAAAGATCGGGCATCTGGAGTGACGCATCCACAGGTTGTGAAACCTCACGTTTGTCCACATGCAGCATCCACAGCTCTATGTTATGATCATTAGAAACATTACAGTGGGATTTCATTCTTCTCTTCAGTTTGCTCGACCCTCTTCTCGACTTACTTAACCCGACGTTGGACTCTTACCAGGCTGAGTGGTGTACTGGGTGGTGCAGCCACTCGGCGTAGTCCGTTTCAAGCAGTGGATGGAGATCGGCTGGTCCACGATGAAGAGTCTGCTGATCACGTCCCATTCGCTTGGCCACAGCAGAGCTACACTGTGCGAAACAACAAAATCATTTTTGTCAACACACCACGAAAAACAAGCAGCTGAAGAGCGGCAGCAGGTAAGGCCTGAGCCATTAACCACACATCATGATTCGTTAGCTGCATGCTGACTTTTAAT